GGTTTGCTGGGCTCTAATGGGACTTGTAGTCCAGGCATTTCACATAGTGAGCTTGTGAGATCTGACAGGTAACATTAACCCCTCGCTTGCTGGTAGATGTCAGTTGACCTGGAGTTCCATTTAGGGAATGAGCAATATATGAGAATCAACATGCATTAACCCTCTCCTGACCTCCATAGATAGTGATGTCCTGGAGCTCCTCTTAAAGGGGTTATGGGCATCTCTTGTATGTCATTATTTGATGAATATATTATATGGAAAAAAGATACCTAAGTATTTTTATAAAGAAACGTTGTACCTGTTTATTTATAGAGCACGTGTGTGTGTCCTATTACCATTTATTGCAAGAAATCCCTTTTTACTAGTCTTTGTGGCTAATTAAAGGGAATCGTTCAGAGACAGATTTATTCACTACCATAACATCATGCAGTATCGATCACTGTCACAGTTTTTGTTAATAATGGAATAGGTTAACCCTTGGTGTCTCCATGATTGGATCATTTTCTGCAGCAGCCAGGCACAGAGCAGTGCTGAGCTGTCAATCTTCATGCAAGTTCTTTGCAGCTGATTGGCTGCTCTGTGCAGAACTTTTGTCAATTTACTTAAAAGGCACAAAACCCATTTATTTTTCACTGCCAATTACTTGGCAGGGGCTATGTAAATGTGAACATTAGGAGCAGATTTTGTCTGTCTGCTCTGCAAGGCTCTGGCCTTGTCTCACCTGTTTGCTTTGAAGTTTATGTAAACCCAATCACAAAATCTCACATAAGCTATAACATATTAATGACATTTTAAATATTTTAGAACTGCAGCTTTCATTAAAAATTCCTGGTTATCCTGCCATGAAGGCTCTGTTTGGAAGCACTTCCTGTTGTAAGGGGACAACTCTCTGTTCCTGTCTCCCAATGTGAGCTCCTCTGTTGTCACCCTGTCATCGAGGCTTCAAGTAGAGACTACAAGTGGCCCTTTCAACACACTTTGCACATTATCCACCAGTGTCTTCATCAGAAACAATCCCTTGAGGAAAGGCATGTAGGTGGCTACAGAGAGCAAGAGATCAGCAACAATGAAATGCAACAAAGTTTGAAAATTATAGTAAAAGCATTTTTTTATTTAAATAAAAGAAAATGTAGAATTGTGCAAAATGATAATTACGTAGCAGTATACATTTAATTTATGTGATGATTCCACAGATTGAAACATCTTTTCTGGAAAAGAATTGATAAACATGGTTCATTTAATTATTTTTTGCTCTAACCTCTACATTGAGATTGTGGGTGGAGCCAAGCAAGGACTGTCTGCTGTCACCTTTATAACAAATGTAGTATGCTTTTAATGAGACACACATGTTCCCTTGTATATTACAATGTGTATTTTTTTTCCTTGTTCAAAAACAGTCCCTTTAAAACTTGAAGCTATGAGATCTTTAACCGTGAAACAGCAAAAAAAAAAGTGTGGCCAGTATTCTAGTCCTTAACACTCAAAACCATAAGATCTATAGTGAAGCAACAAAATAATATGTGGCCAGTATTCTAGTCCTTAACACTCAAAACCTTAAGATCTATAGTAAAGCAACAAAAAAAAGTGTGGCCAGTATTCTAGTCCTTAACACTCAAAACCATAAGATCTATAGTAAAGCAACAAAAAATTATGTGGCCAGTATTCTAGTCCTTAACACTCAACCATAGTGAAGCAACAAAAAATGTGTGGCCAGTATTCTAGTCCTCTTTTATTTCTTTAATTTATTTTTTCATAGAAAGGATCAGTTTCTTAATTGCAGCCATTACATTGGTATAATTTCATACCCAGGAAAATAGTAATAATGTTCCATGTGACTGCCTACAGCACATAAACAGATGACTGGTGTCACCCAGCAGTAATATGGGCAGCAATCAGCTAATACACAGGAGCTCATCCCAATCACCGGTAGCTTTGTATTTTATGGCTTCTGTATGAAACCATCAGAATTACAAATCCCCTCACCTGGTCAGAGTGAATGATCATTGCTCCCTGCACCAAGACTCTATACATTAATCTGTCTTTTATGGTGACACCTAGTCTTTACAATGCCAGGTCCCCCCTTTACAACAGGCCAGCTCCCTCTCTGCTATCAGGCAGTACTATGTACTTTGTAAAGCTAAAGATTGAATTATTAGGATATCAATATCACAGCAATACTGTGTGATCCCATCGCCTGACCACAGCCTGGCACAAGCTGGAATAGTGAGAGCGCTGCTGCAAGTTCAGCTGAGCAGGATCAAATCCCAGGCTGTTTAATAGTGAAAGGCAGCATGTTGCTATTATTGTTAAATATATGGCTAATTATGCGTATGAAAATTAAACATCAGTGTTATGCTAATGAGGCCGCTTCAGCTGGGGATCAGAGCACTTGAGACTAGCATTTAATCAAATGAATCAGGGAGCAATACAGCTGCACGTGAGAACCAGTTCCACAGGATCATTCTGCCACGTACAGTCACACCACCGAATTAGAGAGAAACCATTACCGCCGCTCTCTAATTATCTCCCACAAGGCAAGAGGGAATCTCCCCGAGCCGGAGCAGAGCAGGCTCCCGCCAACCATACAAAGCCACCGGACTCCCCAATATTCCTGCCCTCTGCTCAGAGCATGAAAGACACTCCGATCCTGTGCAAGGGGGCAACACTCATACCTATTCATACGTGGGGGATAACATGTGGCTGCATTGATGGTGTATGGAATAAAAAAAAAAATACATATATATATATATATATTGCTTATTTGTGTCATGATATTTAATATTACTTTATCATTGTATTATCATTACTGAATTAATAAAACTGTACTGAAACATGGGTATCGGATAACAAGAGTGGTTTGCACACAATGTGTCTGTTGTACTGTCAAAATGAGTTTCAAATATATACATTTTATTTTATTGTTTTCTTTACTAAAGTATAATCATATGTGATGCTTATAATAATCAATACATAATTTACTCCCAGTTAACCATGGGTAACATGCATGTAAAGTAACTATAACGTGTAATGTAACCATAACACTCACTATATATATATATATATATATATATATATATATATATATATATATATAATTTTTATTTATTTATTTGAACTTTATTTTATTGAGCCTTGTGTAATTACACGTCTAATTATATAGTGATCATAAGCAGTGTATTTACTATAGTACAGAAATCCAATCAGCATATATATGTGTGTGTATATATATATATATATATATATATATATATATATATTTTATGCAGGGCATACATGCATTTTTATGTAACAAATGCTATGCATGATTTTGCACAGCACACAGCTGCCTATCTACTTTCCTGTATAGAATATGGTACTTTAAAGTATGTGTGTGTGTATATATATATATGTATAGTTTGGATTTATATACTATGATAATACATATATAAATACACTTCTTATAATCACTATTATGTAGACATATGTCATTCGTAAATGTAAAAGCCATATATATATATATATATATATATATATATATATATATATATACTTAAAGGTACCATTTTCTATACAGGTAGGTAGATAGGCAGCTGTCTGTTGTGCAGAATTATATTTTGAATATGTTACATACAAATGTATATTTAGATATGTGTAACTTATAATTGTACAAGGCTTATATATAGAAATATATATAATTATTTTGCAAGGTAGATATCCACCTATCCACCTATCCACTTACCTGTATAGAACGTTACCTAAAATGTATGTGTGTATGTGTATATATATATATATATATATATATTGTGCTTTTATATATGTGTGTGTGTGTGTGTGTGTGTATATATATATATATACACAAAGCATATATATATATGTGTGTATGTATGTATTAATAAATTATATATATATATTTGGGTTTCCATACAATAGTAATGTACTTCTTCTGATCACTATATATTTGGACATATGACATTTGTGATTGTACAATGCTCATTATGGATGCAAATCAAGCATGAATTGATCTGAATGTAAACATTATTACATTTTATTAAACTGGTTCCATTGACCATGCTCATTATGTGTTGAGCCCCCCAGTCCACTCATGGATGGGTAGGTGTGCAGTGGATGGGTGTTGGTCACCCTTGGGCACAGACAGGTGCTCTTATATGCAGGTATTCCTTTTCTGCTGGTGGGCCCCCCACTCCCCCTATAATTATATGTGGGTTATGGGGTCACTGGGGTGTGCAGAGCAGATCGGAGTCCTGGCCAGGCCCATTCAGTCTTGCAGTGTGTGGATGTCATGTTTTACAGGATGTGACAGATTTTCTCACTGTGTGTAGAGAATTATTATTGCTGCCTTAAATCACAAATTGAGTGGAAAAGTGCTGTGTGGGCGCTTCACTTGGCTGTATTGAACGCCGAAACCCGGGCAATTGTAAAATATGGGAGAAGAAAAAAAATAAACGATGTGGCTGATTAAAACAATCCCTCGCCTTGTGTACCTGATCTCCCCGTGTGTTTGTCCCCCGGTCCCCAGACTTTTATTAGTAATGTGTTGTTATAGATGGCAGATCACAGGCCACTGGGAAAAGCCTCCTCTGCTCTTCCTCTCCACGCTCACTCCCCTAGTCAGCGTGCTGCCCCGCAAGGCGCGTTTTAGCCAATCGCAGCGCCCGGATTCAGCCCGCCGACCAATCCGCCGCGCCGCCTCATGAATATGCAAAGCGGGGCTGAGTCAAAGCTGTCGGGCGAGTTTGTGTAGCTGTGCACAGCCTCGCGCCTCTAGGACTTTTTTTTGCTTTTTTTCCCCCAAAGAGGCAAAACTCCATTTTTTTTTCTTATGAATGGAAAGTGAAAAAATCCGATCCGCTTAAATTGGGATCCCTATTTTTTTTCTTCCGGGAGGACCCCCATTGGAAAATTAAAAAAGGGGGGATCCTTAAAAAAAATAAGGCAAAACTATATCCCCCCCCCTTTAAAAAAAATAGAGGCAGGGGGAAAAACCCAGGAAGACAGAAGCAATGACCATGACTACTATGCCAGAAAGTCTTAACAGCCCGGTGTCAGGGAAGGCGGTGTTCATGGAGTTCGGGCCGCCGAACCAGCAGATGCCTCCGTCCCCCATGTCCCATGGACACTACTCCATGCACTGCCTGCACTCCCAGCACGACAGTTCGTACAGCGGCGCCTCGTCCTTCTCCAGACCGCTGGCTTACCCCTATGTGAACTCGGTGAGCAGCCATACTTCTAATCCCTACATCAGTACCGTGCAGCCCTACCCCAACAGCTCCAGCCTCAGCCAGAGCCGCTTAGAGGAGCCAGGTACAGTACAATGGACATCTTCTACCCTCTCTTATGGCACGACCGCTCCAGCCGCCGTCCCCCCGCAGCCACACAGCTCTGAGCTCCTGTCGCAGCGTCAGCCCAGATGTGCGCGCATTAGCTGCTGCCTAATTATTTATTGCGTGGCGCTAGAAACAATGTATGCAATTAAGGGTAATTAAACCTAAACTGCAGCATGCTGGAAAAAAAATAGAAGCTTGCACTGGCTGCTGGAGCTTTATTTTCTGATTTCTCACACTTGATCTGTTCGGTTATTAGTTGTTTGTGTTGTTTACTTGTCAGTTTTATACCTGATATTTGATGTTGTGTTGGTGTGTGTGTGCCATGCAGGAGCGGACACGGAGAAGAGCACGGTGGTGGAAGGTGGAGAGGTGCGCTTTAATGGCAAAGGGAAGAAGATTCGGAAACCAAGGACGATATATTCCAGTCTGCAGCTGCAGGCATTAAATAGGCGCTTCCAGCAGACCCAATACCTGGCACTGCCCGAGAGAGCCGAGCTGGCAGCCTCCTTGGGACTTACCCAGACACAGGTACTCAACACTCATTTCATCGGCTTCTCCTACCCACAGGGCACCTAGTCCACACAGCCCTGGGCTCTGACACCTGGGTGGCAGGGACCCCTCTTATATGTACCCTTCTTACATACACTGACACCCAAGTGACATGTACCCCCCTTAATATACCCCTCATATACGGACCCCCCTTACATACCCTGCCACCCTCCTTACAGGTCTGGCACCCAGGTGGCATGTACCCCTCATATATGTACCCTTCTTACATACCCTGCCACCCAAGTGACATGTACCCCTTTAATATACCCCTCATATTTGGACCCCCTTACATACCCTGCCACCCTCCGTACAGGTCTGCCACCCAAGTGACATGTAACCCTTATATATACCGCTCATATATGTACCCCCCTTACATATCCTGCCACCCTCCTTACAGGTCTGGCACCCAGGTGGCATGTACCACTCTTATATGTACCCTTCTTACATACCTTGCCAATTTTATTACAGAGATGGCACCCAGGTGGCATGTACCCCTCATATATACCCACCCATACAAGTACATCTCTTACATACCCTGCCACCCTCCTTACAAGTCTGACACCCAGGTGACATGTACCCCTTATATATACCCCTCTTGCATGTACCCCTTTACGTACCCTGCCACCCTCCTTACAGGTCTAGTACTCAGGTGACATGTACCTCTTTATATATACCCCTCTTGTATATACCCCCTTACATACCCTGCCACCCTCCTTACAGGTCTGGGACCTAGGTGACATGTACCCCTCTTACATACCCTGTCATCCTCCTTACAGGTATGGCACCCAGGTGACATGTACCCCACTTACATACCCTGCCACCCTCCTTACAGGTCTGGCACCTAGGTGACATGTACCCCTCTTACATACCCTGCCACCCTCCTTACAGGTCAGGCACCTAGATGACATGTACCCCTCTTACATACCCTGTTACCCTCTTTACAGGTCTGGCACCTAGGTGACATGTACCTCTCTTACATACTCTCCTTACAGGTCAGGCACCAGGGTGACATGTACCCCTCTTACATACTTTGCCACCCTCCTTACAGGTCAGGCACCTAGGTAACATGTACCCCTCAGGTACATAGGCCCTCCTTACAGGTCAGGCACCTAGGTAACATGTACCCCCCTCTTACATACCCTGCCACCCTCCTTACAGGTCAGGCACCTAGGTAACATGTACCCCTCTTACATACCCTGCCACCTTCCTTACAGGTCAGGCACCTAGGTAACATGTACCCCTCTTACATACCCTGCCACCCTCCTTACAGGTCTGGCACCCAGGTGACATGTACCCCTTATGTATACCCTTCTTACATGTACCCCTCTTACATATCCTGCCAACCTTAATACAGATCTGATACCCAGGTGTCATATTCCGCTCTTACATATACCCCACCTATACTTATCTCACATATTTTGACACCTTTTGTACAGAAGTTGGCATCCAGATGTATCTCCCAAGGCAGTTTTACACATAGCCCTGGTACCTAGGTGGCATATGCCCCTCCTAAATATCTCCATACTCTTCTTCAAGTACTGGCACCTAGATGTCTGTCCAAGGGCAGGTTTAACACATAGCCCTGGCATCTAGGTGGCACAGATTATATACTACTCTTTAATATCCTGCCACCCTTTTTTACAGACCTAGTAACACACATGCCATAGCACTGTTTCGTCACATATCTTCACTGCTTAGCTCATAAATTGGCATCACTGGCACCAGTGCCCTACAACCCAATCAACTGGACACCCCTGGCAGTACCTAAGCAGATGGCTTTCACAGGCTGCACCTCTCATCTAATCTGAATTGTGGCATCGCTATTCTGACTCTATACTATGATCAATGAGATCATGGCATATTGCATTGTTTGGCCGTGCAAAAATATATATATATATATATATATATATATATATATATAGTAATAATATCAATAATAATAATTCTACCATGTTATAAAGAGTGGCCCAGCTACAAAACACTGCAGGGGTGCCACATAAATAGTCCGCATTTTGCTGTTACAACTGCATTGGAATGTCCCGATCTTATTTTTTATATTCAGTGCAATGGCAGCTGATTAGTATTTATCTCTCATTATTTATATGCAAATGAAAATGTTGTTCTCGTGTTTGTAATTTCTGAATTTATCGTGTATAACAGAAAATATTGGTCTGTTTTGTTCGGTACATTATGAGCCCATGAGAGAGGCTGGTTTCTAAATGGTTAAGTAAAGTAAGGTGGAGTTTTAAAAAGTGCAAGTGATGGTATTTTATAACAATCAGTTATATGAACAATCTATCTTGACAGGATACACTGAAGGGATTTTGTTAATTGTATGTTACACGTGCTTGCCAAATTAAATAAAAATAAAACGCACGACAGAGAGCACTGCACCTAGCCGGGGGCATGGACTGTACACACACAGTGCCCACTCCATGCTTCTGTCCTAGTCCTCGACCTTTCGTCTTTATACAAAGAGATATTACTGGAGATTTAGAATTCAAAATATTATAGCATATACTATTTATTTAAAGTTCATTTATTTATAGCATTAACATATTATAATGGAAATAGCATATACTTTTTATTTTCAACATTTTATTTATAGTGGTTATAGCATAGACTATTTATTTATCAATGTATTTATTTATAGCATATTATTATTATTACTATTATAAAGAGTTATAGCATAAATTATTTATTTATACAATGTATTTATTCAAAGCATATGCATATTATAATGTCAATAGCATAGACTATTTATTAATACAATGTATTTATTTATTTACAGCATGTGCATAATATAACGGTTATTTCAGGCACTATTTAATGATAGTTTATGTATACAATTTATCCATAAAATATATAGAATGTATAATGGTTATTGCACTAACATTATTGTGTGTGCTTAACATCTTAGCAACATAATAATGTTTTATTTAGTGAAATTAAAAACACTGATTCTGATGGTAATTTTAGCACATTGTTTAATGATTAAATTAATACTGGACAAAGCCTGAAACTATCAGATATGAGTACATAATAATTAATTAAAATTCCGATACTTATATAATATGATTTAGTTTTAGATATATGTACAGGGAAAATAATCGAAAAATATAAACCTTACGTTGAAAAAAAGCTAACCAGACATTATTGCATCCACATAGAAATGTCTACATATGTATATGCATCTATCTGTGTGAGAGTATCTATCTATCTATCTATCTATCTATCTATCTATCTATCTATCTATCTATCTATCTATCTATCTATCGATCTATCTATCTTTTTATATATATATGTATATGTGTGTGTGTGTGTATATATATATATATATATATATATATATATATATATATAGAGAGAGAGAGAGAGAGAGAGAGAGAGAGAGAGAGAGAGAGAGAGAGAGATTTTATTTATAGAGAGAGAGAGAAAGAGAGAGAGATTTTATTTATATAGAGATCTGTAGATATTCGTATGTGTAGGTAGGGAGCAGATGAGGAAAAAGGCAACAAATTATGCAGGCACTTACATTTATGTAGATTTATAATATATATGTAGATGATATGTCAATATATGTGTGTGTTGTTGTTTACATGTATGCCTACATTTGCATGCACATTCTAGTTGAGATTTTGCTTTTGTGCTGAGTTTTGGATGAGATCTGAAGGTTAAACGCTGAAATTAACGGTTTGAACCGTTTTCTTTCATTAGGTAAAGATCTGGTTCCAGAACAAAAGGTCTAAATTCAAGAAACTGATGAAGCAAGGGGGGTCAGCACTGGAAAGCAGTGCCCTGGCTAATGGTAGGTCACTTTCTGCCGGTTCCCCCCCAGTGCCCCCGGTATGGAATAGCTCCAGTTCTTCTGGGAAGGCCACCTCTGGGACAGCTTACATTCCAAGCTACACCTCTTGGTACCCATCAGCCCACCAAGAAGCTATGCAGCAGCCTCAGCTGATGTGATCACCGCGGCCAAACCTGCCCAAAGGGACCTTTTTCATAAAACTGCATAGATATCTGATGAGAAAAAAAAGCCCACTTTAGAGGAGAAGCTCTGTGCCTTCAGAATCGTGGTGACTCCAGTGGACAAAGTGGAGCTCACTACATGCAAACACGTGAGGCGGGCTGGTACCCAACAGTTGGCAGAGCACTCTCGACCCATTCTATGCCCTGGCACTGGAGAGCCTGGCAGCAAGAAGTGGAGAATACAGACATACACCATACTCTGAGGACAATTGGAAGCAAAGATGTTTGTAGATTGGGGGAACAATGACATCGACCCTCTTATGTCTGTCTTTGTCTCTTGGTAATTTGTGCTCATTCTCCAACCTCTCTCCCCCACATCCATCCAACTCACAATCAGCAAATTCCCCTATAGGAACCCCTTATTCTATCTCCATACCAGAGGAACTGTCTCAATTTTGGTGGATCAGCAAATTATTTATTGGAGCAAAATATGTGCATCAACACAAGTGTGATAGAAAACACCAGTTTGACAAACTGGAGTCTTTAATAATAATAAAAAGTATTCGAGTTATTGTTAATTCAAAAACAATTGTTATTTTTATTTTATTTTTTGCTTTGAGGTTGGTACTGTGTGTTTTTACATTTTGGATCACCCTCTGCCCTTTAGAATTACTAAAATCTGTTAAAATGGCTTAGACAAAATAGAGCCTGATTGCTCAACATTTAAATGAGGCGATTCAGTGCAAAATCTTAGAAAATAGGACAATTGGCTGTTGTAGAAAATTCTCTTTTAAAATTTGGCTTTTCTACCAGTGTCTAGAATGCCAGTTAACATACCCCCCCCCCCCCCCCCCCCCCCCAGTGTGCATATAGGAAGCCCTTGCATGCTGGCCATTGGATAACCCACCTATTGCAGTGCAGTATGGTGGCAGTAGGAAGAATATCTGTAGGACCCCCCCCCCCCCCCCCCCATCCTTGTACATAATGTTATTAGTGTTCTGTAAAAATGTTGCACAGATTTTTTTTTTTTGCCCTCTGTTTTTGTTCTGCGTGCCTGTAAGTACCCATGATGCTTTTGTGAAATGGAATTTTGACATCTTTGTGAAATTTTTGGAATCTGTGATTACTGAGAACCGTTGTGTTTAGTGTTCTTCTATGTCAAAAGTTTAGTTTTATATTGAAAATGTTAACTTATTGCTTTGTATCTTAAAGGAAAAAAAAATCAAAACACTTTGTAAATAAGTTATAAAAGTTTCTTTAAGACAGTAAAAATGGTTTTGAAAAAGAGGTGGTGTGTTATTAAGTTACTATAAGGCCCACTAATTATGATTTTTATTTATATTATGAGTGGGTATTATAATGTTTATTTTTTATACCTACTTTTTATTTATTTAATATATAATATTGAGTGAATATTTTTGGCTATTTTCACATCTATCCTAGGCAGTCATCTAATAAATATATATATATATATATATATATATATATATATATATATATAGTTTACATTGTACCCTCTGGGTATGTTTTTGTTTACAGAAATTTTTTTTTTTTTTTTTGCGTATTTTTTAACCGGTGGATTTGCTAAAACTGGTGCCCTCAAGAATCTGGTGCCGCTGTGCATGGTAGCCAATCAGTTTCTAGCTTCAGCAAGTTCAGTTAAGCTTTGACGATAAAACCTGGAAGATGATTGGTTTCTATGCAGAGCTGCACCAGATTTTGCACTTTCCAGTTTAAACCCCATACCATAGTATAGAAGGGTCGACGTTTTTTTCCCCGAATGTTAACTTGGCTTTGACAACCAGAGCTACTTAAATCAAGCTAAAAAGTGCCATACATATTACAATCTGAATTACAAAATAATATTTATATATATAACAAAATAAAACTTGAGCGTAAGGATTTAAACAAAATAGCCAGAAGTAAGTTTATGTAGACATCAAGCGCTCTTTTATTTAGGTTCATCCTCAGTATACAAAGTAACTGGTATAATGGATCATTTCAAGCATGTAGTCAAGCTGCAAATCCCAGCAGTTACAATGTTGATGTCATTTTCTGAGTACATCTCAATGAAATCACATCTGCCAAGGGTTATACAGTACTATTTCCCTTATGTATATGCAAACTTCTAATTCAGCTAGGGACAGTCAAAAAGTGGCAAGCCAGGAGACCATTACTGATCGTTCGGTGTGATAAAATCACAGGAAACACTGAAGCAGAAAATTGGATAACAGTACATTGTTACTATTTCAAGGTATTATTTACATTCAGCTACATCGGCCAATGGTACAAGTCAGTGCATCTGAGTATCACAAGGCAGCATTGTCATGCAAAAAAAAAAACAAACCAAACAAAAAAAAAAACAAATTTGATGCTGACCAAAAAATAAATACAAAAAAGTAATAATAAATATTGCAGCTCTTATAGCTTTGACAGCCATTGTATTTCCCCTTAACATTCAACAATTTGATTCACTTATATTTCCTCTAGTGTGAGTGGATTTGACACTCCACCTGTGTGTCCCACGAGAGATCAGCTGCCTGTAGGAACTGAAGTAGTTCAGGCAGGAAGTGGACCAGCATCTTTTTTTTTTTTTTGTGAGAAAGTTGGTTAATCAAAGCATGATTTACTTCCCCCATCCCCCACCAAGGCAGCAGGCTCTCCAGATGTCTGGTTACTATAAACTCTCCTCAGTAAGTGCCATAGGGGGTCTGGTAGCACCTTGACAGCTGCATAACGGTAAGTCGCCCATACCTACAGGCCCACCCTGATCACATCTGCCCTCAGGTGTCCACCTAGCATCTGAAACTGTAACCAAGACAATGCGAACAGTGACATCACCTAGGTGACCTTGTTACTACTACTTTCTGACTTTTGCTCTCAGAATCCCTGCCATATTTACTCTGGACCTCTATAGATTTTCCCTTCTTTCAGAAATTTCAAATTGTAATTGTCCTGTCAATACACCCTGCAGATGACAAAGACATTTCTCATACTGGATCATCAACTGTAAGCCTCCCTTTTTTTACAAGGGCATAAGAGAAAGATGTATCATAGACAGACAGGATAATGTGAATGGATCGCTGGATTCATAATAACTTGCGAGTTTAGAGCTTTTAAATCAATTTTTACACTAGAGGTTGTAAAATAAAAAAATAAATGGAAACAAAAAAAATGAAAAACACACACACACACACACACACACACACACACACACACACACACACACACACACACACACACACACACACACACACACACACACACACACACACACACACACACACACACACACACACACACACACACACACACACACACACACACACACACACACACACACACACACACACACACACACACACACACACACACACACACACACACACACACACACACACACACACACACACACACACACACACACACTTTTTTTAATGCATGGCTGACAATCACAAAAATGTTTAATTCTAATCTGCAGTGTATATAAGCCAAATGACAGTATCTATCTATCTATCTATCTATCTATCTATCTATCATCTAACTTGTTTACTTATCATCTCTCTACTCATTCACACCAACAGTTTTGCTCAGCCTAATGTCTACAATGATTGCCCTCAAATTCTGAAATCAGTTATTTTTGGGTGTCCCTTTATAATATAAACCTTCATATAAGAAATACAATCCCATAAAAACATACATGTACGATGCTTCATTAAGCATTACTTCTTCATGATGTGTCTGCATAATATGTTTGTATTTTGTTACTCTAGAAAAGTGAGACACTTTCTTATACATCAACCTGTAATGGGAAAATGCTATTTTTTCCTCTTATTCAAAAAATGTGAACCTCGTTTTTAAAACACTTCTAAAATAGGTTACACACAGCTTAATGATCACCAAAATGACTCTTTTCTGCAAAAAAAAAAAAAAAAAAGAGACCTCAAAGTGAGCATACAGCTGCAAACCCAAGAGGGTCAGCATCATTTTGTCGTATTCTCTTCTTGATTACAAGCCGAGCCCATCAAACAAAACATAATTACAGTAATTTTAGGTTTATTTATTCTAATGCAGTTCCCCATCTCTCTGGTAATTATGAGCAATTTTTTCGCCCAGGGAATCTTTTTGCATTAACAAAAGAGATAACGTATTGAAAGCCAAATTTGCTATGTATTGAGAAAAAGAAAAAAAAAATAGGTGAGCCTCCATTTCTCTGCAATTCTCTTATATTGAAGTTCAGCAAATTGCTTGCAGGTGTATGGACCAGTGCAGTCAATAGGGAGAGATGCAGAATTAGCAAATGCACAATGTTTAAATAATAGTCTGGCATGGCCACATTACCAAACACTGCTCGCCTTTTGCTAATAATTTTTTTCTTTGTAAATGTGAGATAAAAACACACATATTAATATATAACTAATAGGAAAATTCAGACATAGCTAAGAGTCTCATGTAGTCGCTGTAAACATTACAGATTTATGTAGACAGATTTCTGTGTTTTCTTTATGTACAGCTAGGATGCCTTTAATATCACTAATCCCTTTTCTATAATAAATTTTATTTTAAAATATTAAATTTTTGTGTGATATAGTTAATACTACAAACACTTATGAATATGTATACAAATATCTACGTATACATGTACATCTGCAAGGACAGTACATGAATGCCTATAGTATACATGTGATATATATATATATATATATATATATATATATATATATATATATATATATATATATATACATATATACAGTATATAGCAATCTGTTGTGTTATTGTAGCATGGAACACTGAATTAGTATTCTTAATGAAAGACTATGTATATATATATATATATATATATATATATATATATATATATATATATATATAAATATATACACACACAAGTATCTATCTATCTATCTATCTATCTATCTATCTATCTATCTATCTATCTATCTATCTCTCTCTATCTATCTATCATACGCCTTTAAAATAATCTATCCATTTAG